TGCCATGCTGGCCCCACCCACAGGGTTCACTGAGACAGGCAATTAAGATTGGATGTGGTAGCCTGTAATCCCAGAGCTTGGTGAGGCAGAAAACAGGAGAATCACTACAAGTCCGATCTACACAGTAAGCCCTGTAGACCCTGTCCTAAACACAGGAAAAAAAATTACAATAAAAAAACCACCTAGTTAATGGTTACACTGAACTTTACCAGCACTTTTTCTTAAAAGCTCAGGAATACCAGTGGGGTTTTTTTTGGTTTTTTTTTTGGTGGTGCCGACCAAGGACTGAACTCAGAACCTTGCCCTTGCCAGGAAGGTGCTTATGCCACTGAGCTATCTCTCCGGCATTAAGAGTATCAGAATATAAGTAAACCGTCAGGTATGATGGCACGTGCCTGTAATCCTAGGAGGCTTAGGCAGGAGGACCAATTCAAGGTAGAGAAGAGCCTCGGCTACAAAAGTGAATTCAAGGCCAACCTACACTACATAGTGAGAACCTGTCTTAAAAAGGCAAAAGACAAAAAAATTAGGTGCCTTCTCTGGACACACTCAAAAGACATTACTGTCTCAGGTATTAACAGGATTGTTGAATAGTTTCTTTCAAAACTCACTTTTGAGGGCCAGTGAGATAGCTCAGTGGACTAAGCATCTTTGTAGACAAGTGCAGGGACTGGGGTTCAATCCGTAGCATCACATGCCATACCAGCCCTGCCCCCGGGCACCCTAAGCAGGCCACTGAGACCAAGTGTGGTGGCCCAAGCCTGTAATCCCAGCACTGGGGAGGCTAAAACAGGAGGATCACTGTGAGTCCAAACTGCGTAGTGAGACCCTGTCCCCAGTTCCGCAAAAAAAAAAAAAAAAAAAAAAATCAAAACTCATTTTTGAACAGCAGCAAAAATAAAACACAGGCTGCATTCTGAAGTCTGCTCTCCCCCAGACTACACTCCCAAAGTACAGCAACAAAAATATCCCAAAGGGCTTGCTGTCAGGAGGGTTAGCATCTCGAGAATAGACACAGCCGGCAGGTATACACTAATACATCCTCCTCTCATATAATTCATCTTCCACAGAATTTATTTTAAAAATTCTCACAACTTACCTGTTCCAATATCCAGAATTATTATCAAAATTCTGAGGCACAATATTAGAAAGGTAAAAGGTTTCAGCCATGGCTTTCTGTTAAAAAAAAATAATAATAATAACTTTCACTGAAATGTCCTACCTTTAAGTTAGTCTACAAAGCAAACAGAAAACCAGTTCCTTATCCATACACTACTTCTAGGCAATTAGTGTTTATTTGGATAAATGAAAGTTGCAGGTACTCTGGCAACTTTAGGTTTAAAGTTTATCCAAGTAAGGACTTTAGGTTTGTGTGCTTATCTTGGCTTATCATTTATAAAATCCAAATCTATAATGTAAACTCAAAGAACTAAAAGCTTCCAATGTAAAGCTTAAGACCATATTCTGCTTTTAAGCCTCTGGCAGAGAATTCCTCAACTACAGTCAACTTTCGGGAATATTAAGAGGTATTAATGCAAGCACACTCGTTCAAAAGCAGAGAAGTATTCTCTGTAATCTAGGAAGCTTAGCTGATGCCTGGGTCCATCTTCAAGAGTTTCTGCAAGGGGGTTTTTTGCACAACCCCCAGCTGATCAGAATGAGTACCACAGGTGAGAACCACTGTCTTTTAACAACATCAAGAATTCACACAGTAAGCCTGGCGTGGTGACGCGCACCTGTAATCCCAGCACTCAGGAGGCTGAAGCAGGAAGATCACTGAGTTCGAGGCCAGCCTAGGCTACATAATGAGTTCAAGGCCAGCCTGCACTACATAATGAGAGCCTGTCTCAAAACAAACAAACAAAAAGAGTTCACTCAATAATATCATGAAATCCTCCCCCAACCCCTTTTTGGTAGGGAAATTATCCTAAAATTAAAGGAGACTAAAGAGCTATGACAACACAATGTAATTGTGGTTCATGATCAGATCCCACACCCAAAGAGCTAATAAAGACATAATTGAGGGCCGGCGAGATAGCTCAATGGACTAAGTGCTTGCTTAGGCAAGCGCAGGAACTGGGGATCAATCTCCCTGGCACCACATGCCTTGCCAGCCCCATCTCTGGGTGAGCTGAGTTGGCCACCAAGACTGGGCGTGGTGGCGCACACCTATAATCCCAGTGCTGGGAGGCTGAAAACAGGAGGATCACTATGAATCTGAGCTGCATAGTGAGACCCTGTACCAAATAAAAAATTAAAAATTAAAAAAAGGACACAATTGGGAATCTGGATAATCTTAGTATCAACTGTACTTTAGACAACACTGTGCAAATATAAAAAATACATCCGTACATACTTCTTGGTATGATAATACTCTTTTGTGTTATATACAAACACCCTTATTCTTAGATAATACATGCCCCTGAGCACTCCATTTAGGAATACAGTGTTACGTCTACAATTTCCTGTCAATAGTTTTAAAACACACACACACACACACACACACACACACACACACGAGAGAGACAGAGAGAGAGAGAGAGAAACAGAGTAAATGTACCAAACATGACTGCTGTATTATTTTTCTCAACTTTTCTATAGGTCCAAAACTTTTCAAAAAAAAAAAAGACTTGGGGCCTTGGGTGTAGCTCAATGGTAGAGCATCTGCCTAGAGTACAAGAGGTCCTAGGTTCAATCCCCAGATACCAGGAAAATAAACAGTAAAAGTAATGATAATTTAAAAGATGAGAGGGCCAGCCAAATAGCTCAGTGGATTAAAGCACCTGTAAGCAGGTATAGGAGCTGGAGGTTTGATCTCTGGGCCTGCCGTGCCAGCCCCACGCCTGGGGCATGCTGCAAAGGCAGTTGAGACTGAGGGTGGTGGCATGAGCCTGTAATTCCAGCTCTTGGGAGGCTGTAAACAGGTGGATCACTAGAGTCTGATCTAGTAGTAAGACCCTGAACACCCTGTAGACCCTTCCCTAAAATACAAAAAATAAAAAATAAAACATGAGTAGCCTCATTCCCTATGATTTTCTGTTGCTGTTGATGACTGTTTTTTTAGACAAGAGTTTGGCTATGTAGCCCAGACTGGCCTTGAACTTTCAATGATCCTCCTGCCTTAGCCTCCTGCCTTAGCCTCCCAAGTGTTGGGATTACAGTCATGAGCCACCATACTCAGCTTCCTGGTAGCTTTTTATTTCCTTTTATGACATTTGGTTTCCCTCATTCAACTTGTTTAAAAATTGTTCAGGCCAAATGTGGTGGTGCACACTATAATTCCAGCACTCGGGAGGCTGACACAAGAGGTTCACTGTAAGTCGGAGGCCTGCTTAGGTATACACATTGAGTTCAAAGCCAGCCTGAACTCCACAGCAACATCCTATCTCAAAAAAACAAAAATAAAAGCAAAAGTAAAAGGGATGGGGAGATGGCTCAGTGGAATAAGTGCTTCCCAGGCAAGCGCAAGGGTCTGAATTCAATCCCCAGTTCTGAAAAAAAAAAAAAAAAAAAAAAAAAAGGTAAAAATAAATTAAACACAAAAATGACTCAGCATCTCACAAGAAAAGGAGAAAGAGAATTCAGAATA